ACTGCCTTACAGTCTCTTCTTACTGTTTATTAGCTATTAGAATGAGTCTGGGCTGTGTGGTGAGTACCAGAGCAACGTACTTTGTAGTATCATCCTACTTGAAATTTTTAAGAGATCTATATTATTTCCAGAGACTCTACACACACACACACACACACACACACACACACACACACACACACACAATCGAATTATAAACTGATAACTGTCACTACTAGACTATGAAAAATGATGGGAATGGAAGCATCTCTTTGTTATAAAGTATATCTGTTAATATACACACATACATTTTTAAATGTGGCATATTCAAACATGTTAACAATAGTTAATTGGGTTTTCCTAATTTTTTCACACCTAACTTATGGTAGCATACTTTTCTTGTCAGAAAAATAAAGAATTGAGAAGAAAATACAGAAATTTCAAATGGTGGAGGAAATCCTTGTGCTAAGGGGACCTCCCATAGAGTGATGTGCATTTCTTTCTGTTTTGCTTTTTAAGTTTTGCATTATCCTATGTTCCCACCACCATTCCCTCCCTCTGCATCCCAAACTCTGTTCAGGGAACGATAAGCTTAGAAATCAGGGAGTCAAGAGTTCTCAAAATGATCTTCAGCCAGGAGCCAGCGCCAAGAGAGGCACTGTGTTTCTAACAGTGAGACTGGAGACTTGGCCAGCGTGCACGGGAGCAGGTTCGTCCTCCTGTCCTAGGACCAGGCTGCTCTGACATCTCTGCAGCTCTCTGGGGTCCTGGTTCCTCATTTGTCCACAGTACTGTGTGCCCCCCACCCCCCGCCTGGCCTTCCTGGGGACTGATGGTGGGTCAGGAGCCAGCAGGGCCATGAGCCACAGGGGTGGCTTCCCCTACCCATCCTGTGGTCTGGCTGAGAGTCCTGGCCCAACAGGCACGGAGGTCCCTGGCAGAGCCAGGCTGGCTCTGGAGCCCACCTTCTGGGACGAGCACTCCTTGCCTTGTAGAGAATGAGTGACTCAGGGGGGCCCTAGCTCAGCACCGTGCATCTCTAAGCTTTGCTTCCTTTGGAAATGACATTCTATAAATTCAAGAGATTTCTCTTGCTTTTGTTTAAATCGCTGATTGGGGACGAGGATTAAGACAACACAATCTTGTTCTCATATGTGAGGAAAGCGATTCACCAACTTCTGTCAGTTTTATCTACAATATTTTGGAGACAAAATTTATTTCAATTGATTATTTTTGAAACAGTATTCATAGGATTTAAGGAGAGATAGGCGGGGAGGCTGCACTGAGCACTGACAGTGTAGCTGCAGGGTGAGGGGTCTTTAAGTGAAAGGTTCCTCAGGGGACCCTGGGGGCGAAAGTTTCAAACCCATTCAAAATACCTAGAGCATTCTGGGAAGGGGTGGAGGGGCCAAGAAGCAAGGGGAAAGGGGCTCAAAGAACTGAGATGTGTGTGTGCACTTTGCGCTGACAATGCTAAGTAAGGAGTGTAACCATTCTCTAGCAGCCACTGACTAATAAAAAGTAGAACTAAAGGGAAAAGCTACAGAAAGAGCACCCCTGTTTCTGAGAGGGTGGAGTTAGGGAAAAGCTGCCCCCCGCTGAGCCATGGAGCTTTCTGTTTCCTGTGGGTCAGGGCTGAAGGTGCTTTTGTGTAACAAGTGCGGCGGCCTTCCTTAAGGGACAGTTGGCTTGGAGTGGGTAGGCGTTTCACTGTCGTGTAAAAGCCAGCTTCAGTGAGAAATCTCATTTTATTGGTAGATGGGATTAGCACTTCAAAAGCATTTAAAAGTGCGATCTCAAATGCCAGCATGCTCCGTGTGTTTTCTTGTGCACACTGAGTGTGGAAAGATTGTGAAAATCCATTGGGAAGTGTGCATAGATGGCAAAGCAGGGCAGTTCTATGTCACCCCCTCACGAGGGTTTGGGCAGCCCTGGACCCAAACGTTAGCAGTCTTCCTCCTGGTTCCTCAAATCCCTTAGCGCTCCCGGAGCTTGTGTTGATGTTAGAAAATGAGAATGTATTTACCAGACTACTCACTGGTGAATTTTTAATAAATCACACTTAGAAAACATGCGTGCTGTGCTCCATGCCCACGACCGTGGCCATCTGTGGTGGAAAGTTTGACAGCGAACCCTGCACACTTGCGTATTCGACCTCGGTTTGAAGTTATCTCTGCACATTCTTCCAGCTCACCCACAAAGCAAATCTATGGGACTAGTTTCCCATTTTATTCCTCCAAGCAGGCAGGAAGTCCTGTGAACATGGGCATCATGGCATCTTCCTTTTGCTGCCCCCAGCTTGGTCTTATCCATGGTTACTGGTAGGAATTGGGCCCTTAGAAGCATCTGAGGTACTTTGAGATCAAGCTTGTCACTTCTCAGGCTCTCTACCAGACATCAGCTGTACCTCGCGGTTGTGGCATCTCTTCTGTCCAGTCCAGCACTCTCAGTTTGGATGAAATGTCCACTTAGTGTTTTGGATTGTGGCATGACTTCAGGACAGCATGTTGCCTTGGTGGGTGCCACATCGCTGCAGGGACACTCACTCATTTGCACATTTTACTGGTCACCATGTATTATTGACTTGCCAATCGAGAAGCAGTTTCCTGGGGGTCTGTGTGCTCGGATGGCACATTATGATGGATGTGGGTGGCAAAGGAACAAAGCATTGGAGCTTGGGGACTGTGGTATCGATTGAGGATGGCAGGAGGGTATGGCACTGGAGGAGGCCACGACTAGGAGGGACTGTGGCAGGCTCAAAGTCAGTCAGTCAGCGAGAAAAGAGAGTGCATGAAGAGAGAGCCCTGTAACACCAAGGAGAACCGAGTGTCGCTCTGAGTCTGCCACGGCTCTGACCTACCAAAGGTGCCTTTTCTCTTTGAAGAGAAAGAAGTAGATCAGAATTATGAGTTATGAGACTTGGACAAGCATGGTTTGGGTTCACAATTCATTTAGCTCTTTTCTTTTTAAATGATAGTTGGGTTTGGGCTTGGAAATGATACACAGATCTTGCACTGTTCTCCACATTTCCTTATGTGGAGGTTGGGGTTTGGGTACAGAGCTATGCCTGGGAATGGTGAGGCCCAGATAAGAAAGCAAGTAAGCCAGTAATTTCAAGGTAGCAGAATGCCTAGCACCTTGTCATATGTATTGTGCACGGTTAGCAGGCTCTCTTCCTCCTCCATCCCTGTGCCCACCCGTCATGAGGCCAATGAGTCATCATTGCAGTGTGCAGTGGTTATGTCGGGTTCTGGAAACCATCCTGGTGCTGTCACAGACTCCCCTGACCTGTAAAAGGTGCTGTTGATCTTACTGTCATTCTCACAAGACTTGGGAGGAGAAATGAGGTAACGTCTCCTCAGACCGTTGGGCTTCTCAGAATAACAGCATTTACAGTAATGTGATTTCCTGATGCATCTGTTTGTGTTGTAATGGAGTAAATTCCATTTACCTAAATTTCCTTAGGTGCTTCTAGGATGTGCCTGTCTTGATACTGAAAGCTGGGCCTAGACTACAACCCACAAAGAACTCTCAGTTGTGAGCCAGCTGCACATTTCTGAGGTCAGAGAAAGAGGCTGGGAGAGAAAGGAACAAAAACTGCCCTTAGGTACTCGGAGGAAGGAGATTATAATTAGCTCCAAAGAATTCGTACCAAACTTTAGCTCATGGTGCATTTCTAAGGGTCAGTGTCCTAATATCTTTAAACTATGGATATATTTGAGTTTGGCAGTTTGTATATGGGTTAGCTTATCCCGGGGTCTTTGTCTGGGATGAATTCTAACTCAGCCTCCATCCAAATTTAATTCATGATGCTCCTGGGGCCATCACCTAGGTGTTTAGCAATGTGCTTCTGACTCTGTACCAAAAACACTGACAAATACTTGGATTCATTCCTAAAATACCTAGTAGGTTACTAAATAATGCTTTATCTTTGTTCTGCACATAAGGGGATATGTCTTTTTTAATTAAAACAGTCATGACTAGTCTAACTTTTCATAGCTAAGGGAGCATAATTATGATGAAGTTGGCTTTCTAGGCAGTCCTAGAAAAAGAGGTTAGAGCAAATGATGGAAAATGAGGAAAGAGCTGTCTGCATCCTCTCTGACATGCCGTGAAGATACTAACCTGTTCTAATTATCTGTATTGGACAGTTTTGCTGTGGGATTTCCTAGAAGTAGTTGGTTCTTTGGAGATTTCAATTGGATGTCAGCATTTTATAAAGGAACACATTGAGTTTAACCTGAAAATCAGCATGTTTTCACTTTCAAAGAGATCCTATATATACTTTTCAAGAGCAATTACTATAGTTCATAATTTTAGAGACAAAACACTAATCATATCTCTTTGTCTGAGCTAGGAAAGTATTATGAGTTTCATTTACTAAATAATAGAGGAGAGACTATGTCCCACTACCCAAAATGTGACATGAAAGTAAATAAATCCTTACCAAATTTTGTATTCATTTGATTTCACAGAATGCCAGGCATACATGAGAAAAGTCACATTGCTTCTTAAATTAATAATGTTGTCTTACATAAGGAAATGATGGAATTCCATGCAACTGCTTCTTAGAACAACACGATCTTTTACTAAAGAAGTCATGACTCAGAGATACAGCTCAAATGAAGTCACGTAAAAAATCTTAATAAAATCTCTTTTCTTTTTCCTGACAACTTTTTTTGACAACTTATTGATTTTAAAGAACATTTTAGAACGTTAAATGTAGTGTCAAAGGAACATTTTAGGATGTTAAATTATCTTTGTTCTGCACATAAGGGGATATGTCTTTTCTAATTAAATAATTATTTATTTATAATTAAATAAATAATCAGGATGTTTTATGTTCTCATGTAAAATTTCATGATACATTTGTGATTTTCTTCCATTGTATATTTATATTAATATATATTATATTATATTATTTATATTACTAAGACAAATTTGAAAAAGATTGAAAAATATCCCCTCTTTACTGATCTATTGCAGTCTGAGTTATGATGTTTTATTTGAATTTGTTTCAGAATCGAAGCAAACGCTTGGAGAAGGTTCACGTGGTTATTGGACCTAAATCATGTGACTTGGATGCTCTGATTTCTGCCTTCACATATGCTTACTTTCTAGACAAGGTGAGGAGCAATGATTGTATCTTCTGTACTTCAATATTGTAACTTCTAAGAAGGAACATTTGCTAGAAAAAAGATAACTACCAACATAATTTTTATAGTTACAGAGAATAAAGCATTGTGATCCATTAATCAGCAAATAGTTATTCAGCACCCACTACATCTGTCTTGCATTTATGCCTCTCTCTATAAAACCTTGTTTGAATAAGGTAAATGCTTTAAAATAAGAAAAACTGCTTATCATAGTTAATTACTTTTATGGGGATTCAGGAGACTGACAAAATTAAAGTTAGAAGTTATTTTCTTTCATTATCCTGTTGGATAGATTTACCTTTGGGATAGAAAAGTCTGCACAAGATAACTAGCATGAACATTACATGAAGAACAGTGCATACAATCTGAGATTTTCAAAGACAGAGGAATTACTTATCAAATCTACCTTCTCCAAGTGCTTGTTCGACCTTGCCCTTAAGCCCTGACACCAAGGTCATTTTCCCTGAGGGATATCCATCCTTGAGGGAAACTTTTCTACTGTGTGAAGCACAAATACACTGAAACAAGTGCAAACGACCTTCAACATACTATTTTAAAAATTCCCTCCCCTAAAATTCATCAGCCCGCAGTTTGATAAGCTTTACTGCCTTCAAAATCTGAATAGGTATGTAATGAATCTTTGTGGGCTACTTTTTAATTTTCCAAAGTCTGGTTTGTTTTATTCCATTAAAAAAAAAAAAATAATCCTTGCCCCCGACAATATGTGTAGCTGATCTGGAGCCATTGAAATTCACATGCAAGCCCGTCTTCCAGAATGAGCTGCGGGTGGTGAGAACTGCTTTAGGGCAGCAGCTGACAACAATGATGGGTAAAATATTCCAATCTCTACATGTGGGCTTTATCTTAAAATTTGTTGAACTTTACAAAGGAGATTAATTGGTATGAGGAGATAAATGTGCCTATGTCAAGACATGCATATTAAACATTACTCTTAACTGGGTTTTTTGTTCATCCAGAGAACAGAGTTAACTAAACTGGACCGATTTTTAGACTAATAGTGGCCAAGAATTGGAAGGAACTTATGTAATAACACTACCACTACCAACAGCTGAGTTTTGAATGAATATAACGATGCATGACAATAGAGATGGGGAAGTAATTATGAGACATGAAATAGATACATTAAAATAGACACATGGATCCTCTTCCCTCATCACTAAGTGTGGAAACAAATGTGGAACAACTGAGGAGTCACTTACTGGGGTTTGTTGTCTTTTGTGCCTCAGTTCACTGGGTTCTATCCCTACTACTGGTCTGTATCCTATTTAAAGTTTTCCCGAGAACCTGGTTTCTCCCTCTCAGCTCACTGACACATGGGATAAGTACAGGGCTGTTCAGGCTTGCATATGTGACCCAGGTTAGATCCTGCTCACCCTGATAGGTGAGCCCCATTCTACAGATAGGGAAAAGTGAGGGTCAGAGAGAAAGATGGCTTCCTCCAAGTCACAGGGCAGAGCCTGTGCTAGGACCTAGTCCTTCTGACTCCCAATCCAGAACAAGTCCTCCCTGCACAGGATCAGGCCACGCGCTCCCCGCTGCTGAGTTGATTCCTTTTTTTGTGTCCTCATCAGGAGTTAGATAGAACTACCCTTGAGTTAGCCATAATAATTTGCCCTCCGTACATCGCTAATGACTATTATGCAGCTGCAATTCAGGGGTAACATTGTGGGTGACAGAAACACCACCTGGTGGGAGCAGCTCTGTGCTACATGTTCTATAGCAGTGGCTGGGTCACTTACTTCACTCAACAAACATGAAGTGTTCACCAGGAGCTGGCCTTTCTGATGTACCAGAAGACAGAATTGAGCAAAACAGTCGAAAAAGCCTGACTGCTTGGTGCCATGGAGGGAAGACAGATGACAAAGAGATTAAACAGGGTGCTGAGCACCATGCTTGTGGCAGAGCAGGTGACAAACTGAGAACAAAAACCATCTACTTTATACAGAATGTTTCCAAAGCCTGCATTCTTTCAGTGATAGTGATTTTGGAGCTGATTGCTCTCCGCTCCTAGTAATTTTAAAAAGCACTTTTATTGTTAAAAATTCTATACAAAAATAAGTTTATTGTTGTGAATTTGGAATTCTCTTGCTCCTATCCATCTCCTGTTTACCCCACATCCTGCAAACTTTTCTGAGAGCTTCTTGAACATAAACTTCTCAAAAGAGTATAGGAAATTGGTGGAGATCAGCATATGTTAGTTTGTTGGCCAAATTTCTCTGCTAAGTGAGTTTTGTGTTTCCTGCGTCCTGTTTTGTAGTTCTGAAACTTAATTGTAATAATTCTGCACTGCAGATAGTACCTGAAGAGCTAGATTTTCTTAGTAGGTGGAAGATTTGACTTCAGTAGGTTTGCAATTTTGCAAGCGAGCGGTCATTCAGCTGGATCTGAGTGGTACGCACCCCACTTAGACATAGCATCATGTCCCTTCCTGTGTTCCTGAGGTCCTCCCAGTCTGCCTCAGTCATTCCAATTTTCTTCTGGTCCCATAAACACATGTGAGGTTGTTATCCTCGAAGAGCAGTTGAGAACATATGAGGTTGTCATCCTTCAAGAGCAATTGAGACTCAATATTAGCATTACAGGTGAAGGAAAAACTACATTGTTGGTTTGTCATTGTTTGTGTTGCTTATTGTTACTGTTTTGTTTTATTGTGGAGGGGTTGAAATAAGACATGAACTACTTCAAGGAAGACACGAGAGCCTTCTAGAAGTTCAGAGACATCAGGGGTCATTACCCAGCACACAATTCTCTACTAAATGGATTTGGAAAATCTGGTGATAGATTGTTTCATGCAGCCAAAGGAATTGTGTTCCCATTACTGGTTACCTTCAGGCAGCAGGAAAGGTGGTTAGTTCTCTCTTTCCTCCTGCTCTTTTGAGTAACCCTGTCCAATTTTCTCTTCACAGGTCAACCCACCTGGGGTTCTCTGTTTACCAGTGCTGAATATTCCAAGAACTGAATTCAACTACTTCACTGAGACCAGGTTTATTTTAGAAGAACTGAATATCTCTGAATCTTTCCACATATTCCGAGATGAGATTAATCTGCACCAGCTAAATAACGAAGGGAAATTGTCTATAACACTCGTTGGGAGCAATGTCCTAGCAAGGTAAGACTCCCTGCAAAGCTGTGGGGAATTGATCCCTTCCTGGAGGGTCCCCTGGGCAGCTGTCAGCTTGCTCAAGACTGTTGTGGTTTAGAGAGATGCATTAAAAGCGGAGGATGTTCAGAGGAAAGAGAATTTATTTTCTTCTTTTACAACAAAATTTGGACTGTGTCAATTCTCTGTTTTTACTTTTGCATTTAAAATACAACTTCCTTAAGTGGAAAGTATTTGGGAAATTAACTAGAATTATATAATTTCAAACCATTAAAATAGTTTGATGTAGCCACACAATCTTATGGATTAATGCTGAAAATAGGAAATGCAAACAGAAATCAAATACTGAACAAAGCTGCAAGCTTCTTAAAGAAATCTCCATAATGAAATGGAAATATAGGTAGAGATGGGTCATGAAAATCATTTGGTCCTTGCTTTGTGCACTGATAGCACTTTAACCAATTTATGAAGTTGATCTAGTTCAACCTCCTCATCTCATGGACAAGAAACACAAAACCCAGTGTTACAGATGACACATCCACGTGTAGTTAACGGAAGAATTCAGGTTAGAACATGGGTCTTCTCCCTCCTTCAGTAAGGACTTAAGAGTGTTCACTGAAGCAAGAGTGTAAAGGTCCATCAAGAGGAACAACACGAATCTTCTGTCTTCAGTGATCTTATGGAGACGTCTTTGGGAGAAGCTGTCTGTCACTGAGTGAAGACGCATGAATCACCTCCGTAACTTGAACTGTTCATTCCTTGCACAGTTTGTTAATTTGCTAACTGTTGGTGACCTCACTAGTAGACGCTGTCATTAATATATATATATATATATATATATAAAGAACTTTTTATTTAATCATTTTTAAGTTGAACCTTTCAAATACATTTAGGAATAAATATATTTAGGGATGAGTACATTATAATGTATATTTCGGTATAAATACTTTTTAATATCACTCACAATTCATTTTATTATGTTTTACAAATAATCTACTTGGGTAGAGCTGCTTTTATCCCTATGCTATTTGCAACAAATGAAATTGTTTTTATTTTTAATTTTTAAAAAATTTTATTTTAAAGAGAATCAAAGAAACAAAACAGAATGGAACAAAGTGAATCAGAACAGAACAAGGCAAGCAACACAACACTTAAAAACAAGACAACAGGAAATCAACTGGCTACCATAACGTCTCTCCTTTTCTTCAAAATAGCTGTTCATACCATCACACACAATAAAAACAAAGCAAAAAAGAGTAAAACCAATCAAAACAGAAGAATGAAGGCATTACAGGACTTCAAAAAAGAAAGAATTAGGAAATGAACGGTGGTTACTATAATGTGTCTTGTTTCCTTTCAAAATAGCCATCCATACTCTCACACATAAAAAATAAAACCGATCAAAACAAAACTGTAAAACCATTACAGGACTTCTAAACAAGATGATAGAAAATCAACAATGGCTATCATAATGTCTCATTTTCTTCAAAATAGCTGTCCATACCATCATACATATTAAAATCAAACAAAACAAAACAATAAAACCAATTGAACAAAAGAATGTAAGCATCATAGGACTTCAAAATAAGATAATAGGAAACCAACAATGGTTGCCATAACACATCTCATTATCTTTAAAATAGCTGCCTATAACATCAGACACACTGAAATCCAACAAAAAAGACAATAAAACAAATATAATAAAATTATGAAAATGATACAAGAATTCAAGACAAGACAATAAGAAAGTAACAGTAGTTATCACTTTCCCCAGCTAGGTGTTTCCTCCCCTATCACTTTCATAATATCTACCTGGACCCCACTAACTCCTTCGGATTTTTATGCTAGGGAGATAACTCAGTGTTCACCTGTATGAGTCCAAACCATTTTACCCATGAGCATGATCTCCAGTTGCATACATTTACCTACAAGAGCCTTGAGATTATCCTACTTTTTATCTGGGCAGCTCTCTATTGTATGAAAACACCATGTCTTTCTTATCCATTCTGTGGTTGATGGGCAAGTTACCCTTCCTCTCTTCTGGTCTCCTATCACATGGAACAATTGTTTTCTCTCCTTTGATTTTCAGTCTATGAATTTCCTTTTGAATTAAATGTTTCCTGCGTACAGTGTATCGATGGATCTTGTTTCTTGATTCACTCTCCCTGTGTTTCTTTTTATTGCTGAACTGAGGCTGTCTACAACTGGCATGTGTAGTTTGTCTCTGCCCTGCTGTCCTCCTGCTGATGGCCCTCCACTTTCCCCTTCATTCAGTTGCCTGTCCTGTCCACAATCCTTCTCTGCTGCTGTTCCTGAAACCATGGTCATCTTTATCTCTCTCTAGAATACCCTTCAGCACTCTGCAGAGTTGTTTTGGTGGTCATAAATGCCTTCAGTTGTTCTTTATCATGGAAGTATCTTTTTTTCCATCAATTCTGAAAGATAGTTTTGCAGGGTGTATCAATCTGGGGTGGAAGTTGTTTTCTCTCAGGACTTGAAATACTTCATTCCAAACTCTTCTTGACTTGATGGTTTGTGTTAACAAGTCTATCGTGATTCTGATTGGTTTTTCTTTATAGATGATCTGGATTTTTTTTCTCTAATAGCCTTTAATATTCTATTCTTGTCCTGAATTTCTGGGATCTTGATTATTAAATATCTGGGTGTAGATTTACTTGGTTAGGGCTAGTTGGAGTTCTATATTCCTCTCTTATCTGCATGCCAGATCCATTTCCCATGGTTGGGAAGTTTTCTGCTATTACTTCTATAAATAGCCTTTTTATTTTATTTGTGTTGACCTCTGCTTCTTCACTGATACCTATCACTCTTAAATTATTTTTGTTTGCATCACCTTGAAGTCATTGAATTGTTATTTCCTGGTTCCTTGTTATTTTTAAGAAATTTTTCCTTTCATGATCGCTAGCTGTGATCCTATCTTCAAGGTCTGAAAGTCTATCTTCAGTCTCTTTCAAGTTTACCAGCTTTCCATCAACTTTTTAATTTCCTGGATACTTCTTTGAATCTGTTTCATGCATTGTAAATCCTTCTTATACTGTTTATTCAACGTTTCCATCATTTTCCTGTGTTCCTCTTTTTTTTAAATCTATGTCTTTTTTAGATATGTTCAGCAATTCTTTTATTACGTTTGTGATTTCTCCTTTTATCTGAGACATTATTTTGGATCCAATTACTTTTACAGTCTCACGACGTTGTTTCTTTACTTAAATTGCTATCCTCTTGGAGATTTCAGGTATAAGATTTCCATTTTCTTCCATGTCGATATCTCCCAGACTTGTTCTGTGTGGGCTGGGGGGCTAAGATTGCCTTTTGCTCCTTTGTCTTGACATTCTTTTGGGTTCCTCCCAACAAACCAGTTGTGGGGTCCCAGGCACTTCCTACAATGGCTTTCCTCCATAGTGTAGAGAATCTGATCCCAGGTTCCCCGGGGAAGTAGCAGGGCATGGGGCAGGCTTCTCTAGACCCATGCAGCTACACTGGGGCTTCCTCAGTGGCCAGGGGTGCATGGTGGTTGGGCTGATTCTTCTCTCAGCCTATATATCTACATTGAGATTCTCATGACAGTGGCAGGCACACGGGGGTATGTTTGTCTTATTTTCCTGGTGGGCGATGGCTGCCTGAAGGAAGCAAGGCTCTCCAATGGTGGCCTGTGGGTGCTTGGGGCTTACCTGGCTGCCTGTCCCTGCTCACACTGGCTGCCTGCAAGAAGGAAGCCTTCTGATGGTGGCCACAATGCACAGGGGCCAGACTAGCTGCATCTGCAGCAAATGAAATTCTTTTGAATAATATTAACCATTCAGTCAACAAGTGGCTGGAAGTTATTGACAGGTGGTTTGAACTGACTTCAGTTTTCATTTGTATTCATCGGTTTTCTGGCACTGTAATGAAATACCTGACACAGGTAGTAAAGGGAGATTTATTTTGGCTCATGGTGCTGGAGTTTCAAGTTTAAGAGCAGGTGGTCCCACTGTTTTGGGCTGTGGTGAGGGTACAGAAGCAACATGGTCACATCTCCAGCCAGGAACAGGGAGGCTGAGAGGCCAGGGCCCCACAATTTCCCTTAGGACTCCCCACCATGACCTAGGCACCACCCCCAGCCTCTACCTCTTAAATGTTCATAGCACCTCCCGTTGGGGACCACATCTTTATATGTAGACCTTTGGGGGACACTGACATTACACCAGAGCCATAGCATCTGTATTCAGGATATTCATACACTTGGTTCAATTTCTATGTCAATTTCTCACAACCAACTAATTTAAGTACATTCCTGCAAAGACAGTGTACAAAGATACAGGAGTGAACTATGGAATGAGTGTATCAATCAAAATATGAGAATTTTGTGACCAATTAAAAATAGAAATATTCATTCTGATTTTCAGAACTGAAATTATGAACTCTGGCTTTGGGATTGTTTATGACAGATTGCTTTTCAAAAATTAATTGAGATCCTTAATTCTTCCATTGTCACTCATTTATTTTTTACAGAATGAATAAAGTCAGTTTTAGCAGAATTTTCTTCCTGGCTTTGATAAATACCACCTCTGTATCATATTTAAGGAATGATGGTAGAAATAATAAGCCTAGTGGTATTTTTTTTCTGTACCACAGTTTCAGTATATACAAGATTTTAGAGTTAAATTGTCAAAGTTTATATACAACTGTCTGCTCATCGATTTGTGTGCTCTTGAACAAGTTTCTTAACTGTTTTATGCCTCAGTTTCCTTATTTGTAAATTGGAGGTTTTGTTAGAAGCTATTTTATAGGACCATTTTATTGTATAAAATATGACAACACAAGCCAAGTATGTTCAATAGTTCTGGCCTATCCTGGAAGGTCAGAAAGTGTTAGCTATTATTTTCCAACAGTGAAAAAAGGATTATGTCATGGCTCATAGTTAGATGTCCCCCTAGACATCATGTGGTGCTTTTCAGAGTTGCCTGATCTAGAGTGTGTGATGCTGGATTATTACATTAGTTCACTGATTGGTTTAGCATAGTTCTGGATAGGATTAAAGATGTTCCATCCTAGTTGTGGGCACAGGTAGCCTGGCTAAAACATAAGGCACAGAAAAAGGGTTGGTGTTCGTGGCTGTCACTTACTGCTCCTTTGCTTGCTTACTGCTTGCTCCCTTCTGCCTGCCCTGCTTCACCATGCACTGTCTCTCCTCTGCCATGCCCCTCTGTGTGCCACCCTGCCTTGGAGCCAGCCAACTTTGAGCAGAAACCTCTACAAACTGTGAGCCAAATCCTCCTTTCATTAGTTAGCACTGGGCTTTGTGTCTCAGTAGTGAAAAAAGTAACTGAGATAGACAGAATTACTAAGGTATGAAGATATTTTAGGACTCGTGTGGGGGAGGAATTGGTTGAAATAAAACATGAAAAGACCAGGACCAGGGCTCCACTTTTTATATGAGTTCACTCATCTATTTGGTTATAGAGAAGAAATTATATTTGCAGGAGCAGAGATTAAATAATTCCAAAAAGTGAGAAAACACATCCTCATGATAGCCTTTCTCTTCTTCTCCTCCATTTGCTTTACAGTGAGGATAAACCATTGGAATCAGCGGTTGTCAAAGTCATTAGCCCGGCTGAGCAGAACGGTGCCGAGCTGGGGTTTCCGGAGTCTTCCTCGTCCCTCGTGCTGAAAGAGCTTCTCCGGGAGGCTCCCGAGCTCCTCACTGAGCAGCTGGCTCATCTCCTCAGAGGTGAGCGACAGTGCTGTCTATTAAATACTGGAAGGCTTAATGGAGTGGCTCGTGACCTGCCCATGCAGAAAGAGTGCGATCCATTCTTGGGTTAACAATCCCTTTAGAGACCACAGGAAGCTTCATCAGAGAGGCAGGGAGTAAAGAGTTTGTTAAAGAGTAGCATTATATTGAATATTAAAAATGTGCATTTAAAAATAGGCAAAAGGGGCCTGACTGTTTCGCTAGGCGAGAACATTAAGTGGAGCTGCTGTACCCTGTTGGAGAGCCAGAGTGGCCCTGGCTGTTTTAGCAGCTCACAGTGGTGATTCTTGCCCTAGAATAGTGTGAACATGGGCCAGAATTCCATATGTCCACCTCGAATCATCTCCTGATACTTAACATGCTTGGTTTATATAGCACGCTTTGTATCGCAAATAAGTGCCTTTTATTTTACTGATACCAACTGGATCAGGTGTTTCAGAGTCAAACGTTGCATCCTTTCTCTGTCATCTTGCATCATAGTCCATCTTCATTCTGTCTTAAGTCCTGGGGTTGTGAGTGCTGTCGTTGTAGTAGAGACTCAGTATCCATAGATCCACATCCCTGGATTTAACCAACCCCTCACTGAAAATATTTAAAAATGTTGCCTCTGTAAGTGGGCAGGCTGGTTTCTTGTTACTGTTCTCTAAGCAATAATATCTAACAACTATTTACCTGCTACCGCCACGGGAGCTGGTATTAAAAACAGTCTAGGGACGTTCTGAAGTATAAAGCATGTGCAAAAGTTGTGTAAAAACCATACACATGGGGCTTCTCTCACACGGGACCTGAGCATCCACAGATTTTAGCCCCAGCCTCCTAGAACCAATCCACATACCCGGAGGGATGACCTTACTCTGCTAATCTCTCTTTCATCTCCAGCAGTGGAGCCACTACTTTCAAAGTGATTTTCAAGCTAGAAATTCTCAGTTGACTTTGTTGCCACAAAATTACTGCAAAATTGTAGTTATTTTTTCCATGGAAGATCTTGTTTTGGTTTAATAATAAAGCTTTTCCCCCCTAAACAATTCATTTTGACACAGAAGACAGGCTTTTCTCAGAAGTATTCAATAAAGGAATATAAAAGACAATGAGGAACAGACTAAAAGAATTTGAAAAGGAGCAAAATCTGGTTCATTTATTCTGTCTCTACCACACTTTATAAGGGAAAAGGTCCAAGAGTTATGTAGTGTTTATAAAAGATTTAGAACTAATGGCCCCAGAAATTTGCCTTAAATATTTTTATTGCAGTGGACCTCACCAAAACTGCTGTATGGGAAATTGTGCCTTCATCAAATCTAAGTAAGCACAATCACTTCTCTTTGTGATAGAGCAGAAGGAAAATAAAGTTAATTGGGAATCTCAGCTAAGAGTTAACTTGTTTGACAGTTCAGGCAAGGTCAAGAGAACATTTGTTTAAACACCTTATAAACTAAGGAGTTTGGCTTATTAAAAACACACGTGTTGTTTAGTAGAAAAAATAGTCAATGAATAGCTCATTGTCACAATTCTTTATAAATAGTAAAACAATATGAAATTATAATACATTGGTGGGCCGAGGAGATAGCTGAGGGGCGTAAGTTCCTGACTGGCAAACATAAGGCAATGAATTCGATCCCCGGTACAAAAAAAAAAGCGCCATCCTGAAAAATAGAATACATTGGTGCAAGGACATGGCTTTGTTATGTGATGATGGTGATGATGTTGATGATGGCTGGGTTAAGGAATTAGAAGATATGTGGACCATTTTGCCAGTTTGCGGAGCTACGAAGGCATAAGGTTATGAGAGTGAGTGTTGGGTTTCTCTTAACATCCGAGATTGAACGCACGGCTGATGCCTGCTAGACAAAGGCCACCACTGCTTCCGTCAGCTCCCCTAGGCCACTGAATGTCACAGTGAGCAGCACAGCTTCTGACCCCAGCCTTGGTCTCCAACCCCGTCCTCTCCACTTTCCCGTTCCCTGCAGCTTCTGACCCAAAGCTTCCTCACCTTACCTTTCTGAACCTCCACAAAATGGATGAGGTCTCATTGTGCTTGTTTTACTAACGCGCCCCAGGCAAGTCTCTGTTTGCCCTTTCCCATTTTCATTTATTTTGAGACAGGAGCTCCCTAAATGCCCAGGCTGATCCCACACCTGTACTGCTCCTGCCTCGGCTGCCCAAAGAGCTGGAATTACAGATGTGTGCCCCTTGTTCACCTTTCTATGTTCCACTCAGAAAGGAGAATAGATTTTTATTATTTGTTTTATTTATTTATTTATTTTGGTGCCAGGGATCAAACTCATGACCTCACACTTGCCAGGCAGGCCCTTGTGACACTGAGCTAAACCACTGTCCCAGAGAAAAGATTTTCTTAAACTAAAGCTTCTTGCATTGGGTAGGGCTTGTTCAAACTCAGAAATGTCAGGATTCAAATCATTACCAACCACTTTCACCTGGAAAAAGCACACATTTAGGGGCTGGGGATTTAGCTCAGCGGCATAAGCACCTGCCTTGCAAGCAGGCAGTCGTGAGTTTGATCCCTGGTACCGATTAAAAAAAAAAAGCACACATTTATATAGTATTACTTTCTCTTTTTTGCAGGAAATTATCTGAGTTAGAATAGAAAATCTGCATGTGGATATGATCATAAATAACAATCCTCAGTTTTGGAAATGAGTCAGAATTTGGGTTCTTCCTCTCCCTCTCCATCTCTGTCTTTGTTCTCTTCTCTCTTTTCCCTCCTCCTATATGATTCTAAGATATTTTTATTATTTTCACACATGCTCCAACTCAAGTATACTGCAAAGTCATGTTTCATATACGGCTGGGGTAAAAGTTGGTGTGTGGTTAGATCTTGGATTTGTGCCCAAAGCAAACATTTATAGACTCACCAGAACCTCAGTCTGTGTTCTTTTATTTCTCCAGAGATGTATACTGGAGAACTGCTGCCAGATTTAAAAACCATTAAATTGCTGAATCATCACATTGTGTGTGTGTGTGTGTGTGTGTGTGTGTGTGTGTGTGTGTGTGTGTGTGTATTTGGGCTTCCGGGAACCATCTGGCAATGAGATTTCAACCAGACACACTTTGATCAAAGCTACACTTTGCCCAAATGGCCTTTCATGTTCATTTGCTTGACAGCCACATGATGAAGACTATAAAGAAAATAACAATAATTGTTCTTAATTTAGGACTAAGTGGGAAAACTACACCTTAGGATTTAAAAAAGCAAATGCTCCTTTCTGTTGGTAATTTCATGTGACCTCTATGGAGAATAGTTGCTTGCTATTTTAGTAGCCTGGATTAACAGCTTCAAAAAGATCCTTTTAAGGAAGTCGGATAGGAGAGGAACAGAGCCAGTTCTTCCGTCTCTGGTCTTGAATGAATCATCTCTGTCCTGAAATGGTGACAGCGTCCATAGGGAATTATGCTGCCTGCATTTGCTTTGAGCATGTTGGGGTAGGGAAAGGAGTTCCTGCTAGATGCAAAAGCAAGCTGATTCCTCATCCTCTGACTTACCTCTCCGGCCACGTAACAAGAAACCTCACTCTTAAATGCGTTTTAAATTTATCAGAACAGTAAACAATTGAATAATATGCTTTTTATACCTTCTCAGAAAAGAAAGCTAAGCTTTATTTCCTTTGTTTTTCTCTTTTTATTCTTTTTCCCTTTGTTATTCATTCTATAATTGTTTTTGTTTCAGTGTGACAAGGAATCAACCCTGGGTAAAACAAAATATGAAACTTAAGTCCCTTCTTTTCCAATTAAGAATTTATTGTGCAGAATATATCTTAACTGTGCTCAGTGTTTTCCCCAAACAGCTTCTGACTCTGGGAGATTACGTTTAATATTAGTGTACTGCAATTGCTTTTGACAAGAGGTCCTTCACACCCCCATTCTTCTGAGGAGAGAATATTGCAGTTGATTTTTTTCTCTAATGGAATGCAATGTTTGTTACTATTCACTACGTAGCTTTCTTCGGTGCTTGCTGTAAATTCTGTGTCTCCTCCCTGCTAGCCTATGAACAGTTAGGATATTTGGGGTTCACACATATGGATTTAAGTCTTTCTTTTGTTCTGAAGAATTTGCTGGAAGTTATGTCAGTACTCACTAAGAAGTGCATTTGAATGTGCTCCCAGGTGTCTCTGATTGCTCTGGATCCTGGTACTGACATTTAACTGAGTTTGTAGCTACTAAGTGGTTTTCTAGAGTAAAGCAGATAATAGACAAGTCCCTGTGAAAAGCTACGGTCATTCCTCCATAGCTTGTCTTATCCAGTAAAAGCAGCCCAGGGGAGGGGAAGCACTTTTTGAGCTAGTTCTTCCTGGTGATGGTGCTATGTCATCAGCTTTTCCCAAGTCAAACTTAACCACGAACCAATGTCATGTTAGCTATCCTGGAGGATTTTGTTTAATGTAGTATCATTTAGTTTAATTTTGAACACTGTGCATTTTGTATAATTTTACAAAACAAAATGTCCAAGTCAAAGAAAAATAGATTCTTCATTTAACTGTAAGCCAAACACATTTTTGTCAAATGTATTCCTAAGTCTTTTGTATTTTGACACTACTGCATTGGATTTTTATGTTTGATTTTAATTATTTGTAGTTATTTATAGAAATAAAACAATTTTGCATCATGCAGCAAATTTGTTAACTGTACCATTATAATTTCATTTGTAAATGAATTTTTATATGTTCAAACATATGTATGAAGAACATTTTAATTCACCCTCTTCCTTTCCATTTTCATTTTCTTTTAATGTTTTTTGCTTTCCTTATTGGTCTTTGGCTAGAATTAATGTTGTCAAATAAGAAAAATATTAGGAGATATTCTGATCTCATTTTTAATTTGAGGTGAAAGTCTTTTGGTATTTAATAGTTAACTATGGCTTTTGCTATCTTTGTTTTTATAAGTACCATTCATCAAATTAAGGAAATTATTGTCTTTTCTGTCTACTTAGCTGAGATTTCATCATGATTAAGGAGGAAGTTTTA